AAACCTATTTTGAAATGCATGCATGTAGTTTTTAATACTTCGATTAAAAACAATTAAAATCGTAATCGTCCAAGATGACTAAAAATATATAGATTTTATTTTTTAGCCATATCACCCAGCCCTAGTTTCACTGTTGTGAAATTGAGCGTGGTTTGTAGGCCACCTGGTTCAAGACACTTTTTTAACTCTGTCAACAAATGAAATTGAGACAGAAGCTTCGTGATACCTACTACAAATTATTGACATTGTCCAAATAGAAACTGTTATGCCTAAGCCTTAATTTGGCTGATGTCTTTGGAGGGTTGTTTGATATTGCCCCATAATTTAATTTGCCTTTGATGCCATGTGGTTTGTAGAGTGCACCAGTAACTCAAGCAAAGCACCCTCACATGCTGCTTGGGAGCTTCTCTATATTTACTTCAAATGCAACAATGATTATTTTGGTAAAATATTTTCATTTTAGTAAGTCCTTTTCCCTGAGAGCTATTTGGTTCTTAAGAGTTAGACAAACTTTATTGTCATTTTGTACACACAGAGTTTATACAAAACAAAATTTCATTCAGTACAGCTCTCAAGACCTGTCCATTTCTAAAGTGCAGCAGTGATAAAATGTAAACTTGGTGATCAAAGTGAATATAAGACTGGAATATGATTTACAGTTTTTCCAACATTCAGTGCTTTTTTTCACCCATTTTATTCAACATTCAGCAGTCTAATGGTAGGGTGGAATAAGCTGTTTTGGAATCTGCTGGACCTGCATCGGATGCTTCGAAGCCTGTTCCTAGAGGGCAGCAGGGAGAACTGTCCATGTTGGGGGTTTGTGGGATCATTTATAATGTTACGGGCTTGGACCACGCAGCGCTGGGGTGAAATGTCTTTTATGTGATACGGTTCCCTATGAATAGTGATGCACCTCAGCTAGCATCGACACCTATAGTTTGCTTTGGTTCTCTGGGCTATACCTATTTTTCACTTAATTAAATAGCTATTTTCCTTGTGAGCAGTATTATCACTAGATGTTTTAATGGTGTTTGTGTACAGTTGCTTGACCAGATGAGGTGTTCAGGTATCGGTAAATTGGAAAAAAAAATTCTCTTCCTTATACTTCCCAGATTTTAGGGCCGAAACAATCGGATTAATCGTGATTAATCAATTATTGAAACAATCATCAACAAATTTAGTGATCGATTAATCGTTAACTGGAGTATAGAGACTGTAAAACATGCCTTTAGCTGATAGAGCGACTCATTTAAAGCAGCAATTATACTTAAGACTATAAAAAAGAATATTTAAACATTTTGCATTTGGGATGCAAAAACATGTCAATATGCTCTATTCAGAACTCAAGTGGAAAAATTGGTTTTACCTGGTTATTTTCATCTTCTTTAAGGAACCTTTGGCTTTCCCATTATTAATCGATTAATCGAAAAAAATTATCAAGAGATTAATCGATTTGAAAAATAATCGATAGTTGCAACCATATCTGATTTCTTGTGACTAATTCAAGTTTAGATGGGAAAATATTAGTATTGATAAAACCAGACTAAGGGGAACAATTAAACAAACAATTCTTTAATTTGTCTCTTTTGTACAGTGTATGTTAACTTTGGTACGTGTTTTATTTTGTTATATAATGTTTCTGATCTGTTTTGGGGGAGGAGTTGTTCTGATCGGTGGTCAGTATGGTTAAGTTGTGGATTAAACTGATACAGTATCCTTATATAAGAGACCAGGGGAAGGGAGTGAGCATTTTTACTGATGACTTGTCCTGAACTAAGGCTCTCCTAAACAAGCAGAGGCGCAATTTCTGTGGTCAGTGTCAGGCTTTCCTCAGGAAACACTGATTTAAAGTCTGTGATATAACACATCTTGTCTAAATCTATTTTCCATCAGTCTGTTATAATAAAGACAATAAAGAAAGCCTGACTCGTCACAAAGCTTTGAACTTAGCTTGCATGTTAGTCATTTTTTCCTGTGTGATCAACCAGGAGCAGCATAGATCTGCCAACTCAGTTTCACCAACCAAGAACTCTTGCTTTCTCTTGTAAAATTTCAGTGTGCATGTGTGTGTTTATGTGCTGGGTTTTCCATCTTTCCAAGTCAGAGGTTTCCTAGGGTGGGGACTGCTTAAAGCTATTTTTTTCTCCTGCTAGAAGCTCTGGAACTTATTACAGTCTGAAGCATTTTCATAAACAGGCCATTCAGCTGCCTCTGCACGGCTCTGAATGAGACTCAGTGTCACAAGGAGAAAGAGAGTTAATGTGGGCTGGTAAGCAGCAAAACCTCCTCATTATGGAAGACTGTTTTTAGGGCAGCGTTGTGCTGTATCACTTGGCTTTTTAATTTAAAAGATTGCATTTATTAACCACTAAAAGTTGGTTGCGTACTCCAATAAGTATCTTTTAGAAAAGTTTTGCATGGCATATCATATTTAATTGAAGTGTAGATTCAAAACAATATGTCAGAATGTTTTTATTCCTGCAGATAATATCTATGTTAAATTAATTAAATGATTCGGGTAATGAATAATAAAACTGAGTTTAAATTTCACCTTATAGCCTCTGATTGGTAAATACAGTTGAGCAGAGTGACACAAAATCTCACCATAGACTGCACACAGGTCATGACTCAGGACATTACAACGTACATGTACGCTTGGCCGTGCTGCCATGTTTGAATGCCATAGCTTAGTGATATAATTGCAGTCCTGTGGTCTGAAGCTGCACAATTTTAATCCCTGAGTCCAAGTCCGCTGTCTATTGTCCCTAACAGTCTACTAGAATCCTCATTTTTGATGAATGTTAGGGTGATAACAAGAGCAGAACTATCAAGAGACGCAATAGGTGAGCTGAGTGAAGAGACACGCTTTGTTCAGCTACTAATACAGAAAAATTGGGTAACTAAGTCAAAAAAGTGAGAGTAGAAATATTTTGATTTAGACTACTTAGACTTGGAGAACTTTTATCGTCACAAGATTTCAGAAATAATTTTAAGGATTCCCTTCCTTAAAAGTGTTTTGAATACTATTTTTCATTTTTGGTGACATTTATCTTTCTTTGCAAACAATGTTCCCAACACCCCTCTGGTGCTTAAGAAGTCAGCCACTAATGATTTACTTAATTTGAGAAGATTAAGGGCTGTCAGTTTCCATGCAACCGGTCAAATTTATCAATATCCGGAGCCCTTAAATGTCTGACACTCGAATATGATATTCCTCCTAAGAAGGTGTCCAAGCAATCCTTTACAATTTTGATATTGCACATACTGATGTTGTTATGATGATTATGAATCGATATATTGTAGGGATGCACAATATTGGGATTTTGGCCGATTTCTGATTTTAAAACTCATGTAGCCGATAACCGATATCGTAACCGATATTCAAGCTGGACAAAAATAAGTAGTCATTGAAAATAGCAGTTTTGTTATCCATTTCTGACACTTTGAAAAATAATATACTCAAATATATTTTCATATGCTGATATCAAATTGATTTTTAAAAACGCGGTATCGATCTATTTTACTCGTTCTGTTACAAACTCTCGTGATATTTTGCAAATTCTTGTGAGATTTTGTGAATTATCGGGGGATTTC